AAGCTGAATATAAGCCAACATTTCCCCCTTCCAAAGCCTTACAAAGGATGGTTTACATGGACTTTAAATGGCATAGTTTGGTGCAGATCCTTTGCATGGGAGTGGATATCATCCCTATCTCCCTAATATCCCGGTGCCCAGTCTTGCCAAACAGTCCACTAATATAAAAGGCAACCACCTAGTTGCCCTCATTTATGGGGCAGAATATAAGGGCTCAGTTAAGGAGCACAGGACACTAGGGAAAAGAAAGCATGTAGGACAGACAAGGGGTATACCTACAGACTATCGATTGAGCTCACCTTGATGCACAATAAAAGCAGCGTGAAACATTGTACTTACTTGCCATCTGATAGGTTAATGCCTCTAAAGAGAGGGTAGTCCTCAGGGCCCGGCTTTCCTGTATGGTCTTCGTACAGGAATACAGGAGATCTACCCATCTCCATGCCGATCTGCTGGATCCCTTGTTCATTGTAAATGGAAACCAAGAAGGACTGGCCTCCTTTCTTTGCTTTTACAGTGGTTAGGATGGAGAAGTCTTCAGGAAACAGAGAAGCTGAAGTGGAAAGGCAAAGAGTTTAGTCTTTCTTTTGGGTAGGCACAATCCCTGCTTCCCTGCACCTGATGAACAGCGGGGAAAATACTAGCATTCGCTCACTCTTCCAAAATGTGGTGGCATGAGCAAGGGAAGAACAGGATGCAAAGAGGCATTTCCTTGGCACCAACTTCCCCATTTAAGACAAAACCCACGGAGGTTAGGGGCTCTTATGGTGATGAATCCCAGGTAAAAAAGCAGAGCGGCTCCTTCTGATGGTTTATTCAGTCACCGAGCCCAGCAATGAAACTTCTTCGGGATCATCTGTTAAGGATCAATGAGGCTTTCTCAACCTTTACAGTGGCTTTCAGTACTGAAAATACAGCTATGCCACATTGGGACTTCCCAGCTAAAACAGAATAGGGCCCTTGTTCTTGATTGCAAATGGTGGGTGTAAATTGGTAGTGCTGCACTTGTACTTCTTTCATGGGGACATTCGCGATCCTCT